CCTGTGTTTTTGTTTTGATTTTTGTTTGTTTGTTTGCTTTTGTTTTTAGAGACAGGTTTCTCTGTGTGAAAGTCCTTGCTGTCCTGTAACTCACTTGTATACCAGGCTGGCCTCAAACTCACAGAGATCCACCTGCCTCTGCTTCCTGAGTGCTGGGATTACAGGCTCATGCCACCACCAACTGGCAGTGAAGTGTTGTGTTTTGTTTGCTCTGAGGGGCTGGGGCATTGTTTGAGAAGGATTTGAGGTCTGACAATGTAATTACATGTTTTTTTCTAATTAAACAAAAATTTAAAAATAATTTTAAAAAAGATCTATGCAAGGGGAGACAGAGAGTAATTAGAGAAGTATAAACATCAATTATGAGTAACAATCCAAAGCCTGTAATTCTATGAACAGTTAGATATAAATTATATTGGCATAATTTCTGGAGGGGTCTTCTTCCATACCTATGCCCTTCCACACACACAATGCATATCTGCCCAATATTTACTTATTTATGTATTTAATTTGTTTTATTTCCTTGTTATTTGTTCTCAAGAATATTTAGTTATAGAGTGAAAACGAGGACCTATCTGTTTAAATGTGACTGTTTTTGAAGCCAATGACCTCGCTCCACTACCAGTTTATTTAGCCAAACCCTTTACGTGAGATCTAACAATAGAGTAACAAATAAAGCATCCAGCTTAAGGATGGATGGTGAGAGGTCCAAAAAAATGACAGCAATAAACAAGACAGAAGAAAGAAAGCACGCCCAGTAGATATACACAAGGTCCTAGATTAGTTACATGGAAGGTACACAAAATACCATAGGCAGCAGGGTTATCCTTAGGAAATATTTCTATAGAAGATAGATTTGGTGTGTATTTTTGAAAGCCTGGGGAAACACGAAATGGTAGAAAGCAAAGCATGGGCTCTGCCCCATGGTGTTTTCTTTTGACACATGAGTACCTTTAAAAATAGCCTGATGGCCCCAAGCCACAGGAACTAGCTGTTCATGGCTAATTATCCAAAGACTTGGAGAAGCCAAGCTGTGCAAAGTCAATTCAACTTTGCCTAGTGCAGCCGGAAGCTACTTTAGTTAAACCTTAGTCATGGTGTTTCTAATGAAAGAGGCAAAACACAATAAAAATTGCAAGGCCAGTTCAGTATAAGTGTATAAAAGTGTAACAGAGAAAAGGCAAACATCAGCCAATTACTAGACCACCAATGCGATCCTTTCTCTTGAAGCCCAGGCTACAAAAGGGACCAATTCTTCATATTTTTTCAAAGATAAAACTTGTTTAATTAGTATTCACATCTCCAGTTTATTGAAACTATTATTCTCCTTTGCTCATAGTAAAAACATGTTATTTTAAAGTAGGGGAGAATTAAAATAAAAACCTAAATGTCCACTGACAGTAATGTGCTCCATCGTTTTATTTCTGGTTTTATTTATTGTGATCTGGAAAAATGCTTACAATAGACCACTAAGCAAAAATATTATAAAAAGGTAAAAAAAAAAAAAAAAAAAAAAACAACCCTATACATTTGGCTGTTTTCTCTGCTGAAGGACTGTTCATCCTGCAGTGGTATTACCCATGTGCCACCAGGTGGTAAGATGATGGCCAGAGTCTTTCCTTGTTAAGATAGTAGTGGTTTCTCTATTTGTTTACCTTATTTGCACAAAATCTTTATGTAGCTTATTTTTATTCTCCTCATCATGATACCATTTACAATATTCCTTCCAACCCAAGAAACTCACAGTCAACAAGGAGACAAGTTTGACAAGACACTGTCATAGAACTCATCACCTAAAAGCAGATG